GTTCCACCCCGACCACGCAAACACCGGCTTCGACAAATTCGACGCAACCCTCCAAAAAGCGCAAGGCTGCTTCACACGCCGCGGCTGTGACTTCTCAGGCGCATGCTTCTGCGACGGCATCGTCGTCTGGCGCCAGCACAGGGGCATCACGAAAAACGGCGTCGGGTCCTTACGCTAGCTCTTACGCAGAGACGAACATGCTCAGTTTCGAGAACTCAGGTGCAATCCCCAGAGACGGAAAGTTGGTGGCGGATGACGGTACCGTACTAGCACCCAATGGTAAGACAGCAACAAACCACACACGCACCTTCACGTACCCTCACTCACCATCCTTGTGCCCCGTCCCAATTTTTTTCTCCTTCTTCCTGGAGAGGATAGCTCGCTGATCAAAATTCATAGACAATGTCTATCTCGTGTGTGAGCCTCCGGGCGAGCCATACTACCTGGGTCGCATCATGGAGTTTCTCCACGCGCAGAATGACAACAAAAAGCCGGTGGATGCACTTCGCATCAATTGGTTCTACAGACCCAAGGATATCGGCAAAAAGGTCAATGACACTCGACTAGTGTTTGCGACGATGCATTCCGATATCAGTCCCCTGACGGCCTTGCGTGGTAAGTGCCACATCCTGCACAAGGCGGAAATCTCCAACATGGATGAATATCGAAAAATCTCGGACAATTTCTGGTATGAAAAACTGTACGATCGCTACATCCAGAAGAATTACGATCTGATCCCTACGTCGACAATCGTCAACGTCCCTGAGAGGGTGAAGAAAGTGCTGGACGAGCGCTGGAAATTCGTTATTGTGGAGCAGGGCCGCGGAAAAGAGTTCACTAGCGCGGTGAAGTCCTGCAAGCGATGCAGCGGCTACTGTGCAAGGTTAGTCCACCCACGCAGCAGTCTCATGGAGAGTTGGGGTCACTAACAGCATTACAGCAATGACTCGGTCGATTGTGCTGTGTGTAAGAAGACATACCACATGAACTGTGTCAGGCCGCCCCTGCTCAAGAAACCCTCCAGAGGCTTCGCTTGGTCCTGCGCTGCGTGTAGTCGCGCGCAGGAACGAAAATTGGAGGCTCGGCACACTCCTAATCCAAACAGTCTCAAGGAGAATGCCGGCGATGCAGACGATGAGGATTTGTACGACGACGACGACGATGAGATGCAAATCGACACCGAGCGGACGAGCCCGGCCGAGGACGACGACGCCCACCGTACCGGCACTGCAGAGCAGATTTACCAAGCCAGCCTGTGGCCTTGGCGCTACCTTGGAATGCATTGCAGGCCCGAAGATGCCCTTGATTACGATGACCGAATCTACCCCCGCGCAAGCACTCGCATTGGTCCCAAACATCAAGCGCCTGTGCTTCCTTGGCCCGGCCAGCCTGTACAGTATCAAAAGCCTCTGGAGTTCAAGAGGACGGGAAAGAAGGGGCCCGGACTGTCGAAAGAAGCGCTTGCCGCCTTGGAGGCTGAGAAGATCCGACGCGAGAAGCGTCCTAAGTGGGTTCAAGATGAACCCTCAGGATATGTGGCAAGAGGAGAAGACGACGACCCCGACGACCCGAATGCCACAGCTACACGCGTTTGGGTACCCCCTCCAGCAAGTGAGAAGAACACTGGGTGGGAAGCCAAGCTAGATCGGTACATGAAAAAGGCAGAAGAACTGGCGCCCAAATTTGGTCTAGCGAAGAACTCGACCAACTTCCACGATATTGCCGTGGCGATGTACTACAGTAGTGGTTACGATGAAGATCACGCGCTGAAGGCGCTCTTGGGAGTAGACAAGGCGACTTTCAAGGAACCCGACTTGACGCCCACGGAACAGAAGAGGTTCGAGGAAGGTGTCAGCAAGTACGGATCCGAGCTTTATCTCGTCAAGCGACACGTCAAGTCTCTTTCACCCGGCATGATCGTGCGATATTACTACAACTGGAAGAAGACCCAGCAAGGCAAACAAATTTGGGGTAATTTCCAGAACAGGAAGAGCAAGAAGGAAGCCAAGAAGGCCGAGGTTGCCGCAAGCAAGCTACAGGACGATATTGCCGATGATGCAGATGACTCTGCGTTCGATTGCGAGAAGGCGGCACGCAAAAAGAAAAGCTTCTTGTGCAACTTCTGCAACACAAAATATTCCAGGCAATGGAGGCGGGCTCCCAATGCATCGGGAAAACCCATCAGCGAGGGGGCAGGCAAGAATTCCAACAAGGACAAAGGCGGCCAGTACATCCAAGCACTTTGCAGGAGATGCGCGGAGCTCTGGCGGCGCTATGGCATCCAATGGGAAGAACTGGATGAGGTCGCCAAAAAGATCGCCCAAGCAGGTGGTCGAGCCTGGAAGAAAAGACAGGACGAGGAATTGCTCAAGGAGCTTGAGGCAGCTAAGGAAATGCACACTTACTGGAATACCCCTCCGCCAGTCACTGCTCCAGAGCCGGTTGTGGCGGTTTCAGTGGCACCTTCAAGCGAACCTCCGCGGAAGAAGCTCAAAGGAGCAGCCCCAGAGAGAGACTCGGAGTCGCTCGCCTCAGACTCAGCTCCTCCTGCCGCTCCACCGAAGAAGAAGGAGAAGGCGGTGGAGAAGGAGAAACCGGGACCTCCACCAGTTCCAGAAATCCCGAAGCCCAAGACTATGCCTTGCGCGATTTGCAACCAGTTGGAGCCCTTGGGAGATCAGCATCTATCGTGCAAGGAATGCAGATTGACAGTCCACCGCAACTGTTATGGTGTTGTTGACAACAGGCACCCCGGCAAATGGACCTGCGACATGTGTGCCAATGACAAGAGTCCACAGGTTTCGATCGTAAGTTATTTACCGTCATTAACTAGTTCCGTTTCATGTGCTGACTTCTGGACAGCAATATAAGTGTGTTTTGTGCCCAATTGAACATACGGAACATGACTTCGTCGAACAGCCCAAGATCTCTACTTCCAAGAAGAAATCAGAGAAGGAAAAGGAGCGCGAGCGAGTGGAACGAGAACAGGCACAAAAGGCTGCCGACTATTACAAGAAAAAGCAGGAGGACGCCAACCGCCCAGCCAACCCTAGGGAGCCGTTGAAACGGACCGCAGATAACAACTGGGTCCACGTCACTTGTGCTGTTTGGACACCTGAGGTCAAGTTTGGCAATGCCAAGGCTCTGAGTCCGTCTGAGGGCATTCCTTCTATTCCTCGTGCCAGGTATGATGAGGTTTGCTTGGCCTGCAACCACAAGGGTGGTGCTTGCATTACTTGCCATTACTGTCGAGACCCTCGTAAATACTACTCATTCCTTTCTTTGGATGCCTACTAATCGCTGTTCCCAGTTCATGTTGAATGCGCTCGCCAGAAAGGTTACCTCCTCGGCTTTGACATCACACCTGTTAAGGGATCTCGCCGTGACCAGTTCAATCTTGTCACCATCAATGGCGAAACTGGCGTCATGTCAGCCACGGTGTGGTGTAAAGAGCACGTTCCAACAAAGAGCAGTATCCATCAGATGCACGACATTATTGACGAGGATGGCCACACTGCTCTGCAGTACTATGTGCAGAGCTACAAGCAGGCAGATCTCACCTTGACCGGCACAGTCAGAAAGGCCAACCTGATGACGAACGCTGCTAAGATGGGAGGTGTTCCTGTGACACCAAGCACTCGGCGAGCATCAACCACTACTGCGCCTTCTAATGTTGTTCCTCATAGTGTGAACAGCGAAACCCCGAGCACCCACCAAGCAGGAGAGAAGATTTGCATTACGTGCGGTATTGACGTCGCTCTCAAGTGGTGGCCCATCGAGAACTCCGATGAGCGGGATCTCACCAATGGTCACTATGGAAGCTTGGGCTCAGAGGCTCAGAAGTTTGTCGAGCAGAGAAAGTTCCAGTGTCACAAGTGTCGCAAATTGAAGAGGAAGCCGGTTCCTCATCCACCCAAAGAACCATCTCCAGTCATTGAGGCTGCCGCGAGGTTGGTTCCACCTCCACCTCTACCGGTTGTTCCCCCGCACCACGCTCTGGTGGCACCCACTCCGCCCTTGAGGAGCCCACCAACGACCGGCCCAGAGGCCAGAGCTCGCAGCCTCTCTGCGTATGCCTGGGTTGCTCCAGCACCTCCTCCTCCACCGCCGCCCGTCTCACAGCCTACGGCTCCGCATCCGCCGCCTGTGCCTGCGCCGCCGCCAGTTCAGGCCGCTGCCGCGCCGCCACCACCGCCAAATCCACCTCCGGCTCCTCATCAAGCTCCGGGTCCCTATGGCCCTCCTCCGGCACCAAGATACGATTGGAACAGTCGCCCACCTCCGCGTCATGGATCGCCACCACAGCGTCCCATCTTCCAACCGTTGGCTAACCTACGTCCTCCGCCCATGATTCCAATGTCAATGGCCCCTACACCACCCTCTGGTCCCAATGGACATATGGGCCAACCTGCGCATAACGGCATGCCGCCTTCGCCGCTGATGGCAGGGCCCATGTCTCATGGATCCCACGGTCCACACACAGCGCCCTATATGCATCCCTACCGGCAAAACCCTCACGGATCGCCTCTCGGCTTACCAAATGGCGGGCCTCCACCCAGAGGCCCTGACGCGTTCGCGCAGGGACTTCTACCGCAGCGAGCACCATACGGCAGCCCTCCTGCTCATGATGCCGGAGGGCCGCTGAGGACACCTGGCATGCGCCCTTCCAACGAGCCGCCTCGACCTGCAGGGGCGAGCACAAGTCCTTCTCTGCGTAACTTGCTCTCTTGAGAGACTACGATATGTTGCTTTTATTCTGCGACTTTGGGGAGTTTGGGAAGACGATAGGAAGGAATGGTTGAGTTCTGGGCTGGAGAGCGGAATCTTCCGCCCCGCTCGTGTAGATTATGCATTTCGTTCAAGCGCGAAAAATCTTGTGTCAAATTACAGACGCATTGTCTTGTGATAGCAACTGGCCGCACGGGGGAGACTGGTGGAATGGGAGGGATTCATCGTGCCAAGGGCGGTTGCTAGATGTCCTAGTGTTGAATAGAGAAGTTCTCAAGTAATGCTGTTGCTCCAGGCTCTAGTAGCCAACATGATGCGTGATACGTTGTCAAACGCCGACTATATGCGTAGTCGTCTAGCTTCGACCTTTCATTCATTCCTCCCCGATATCCTCATTCCTAGCTTGATCAGTATGTATGTAACATGATTACTTGACAGGGGAATCTTTGTACCAGACTTCAGGCTTCTCAGCGATAAACTTATCCATGAGGGCCTTGCACTCTGCGTTATCGACAACGACTACTTCTACGCCGCGCTGCTTGAGGTACTCTTCGCCACCGAGGAACGTCTTATTCTCGCCAATGACGACGCGAGAGATTCCGTAGAGGAGACAGGCTCCGGTGCCTGGTAGGGTTTGTAAGCGATTTCAGTGTCAGATGGGGGGTAGGTAATAGAGATTGTGGACATGTGTGTGTGTGTGTGTGTGTGTGGTTAGGGAAAGAGAGACTTACACATGTCGCAGGGTGAAAGAGTAGTGTACATTGTGCTGCCCTTGTATGCCTTTCCGGGCAGGCGGCCCGAGTTGAAGAGGGCGTCGGTCTCGCCCTGGTTTTCAAGGTGTGTGTGAGCTGATGTGATATGTGGTTGGGGTGGTCTGGTTTTCACTTACATGATGGATGGCTGAACCCATCTGGACGCGGCGGTTGTGGCCGCGGCCGAGGAGCTTGCCGTCAGCGGAGACGAGGGCGGCTCCGATCTATGTCGTGTTTGACCGCGAGGGGTCCGGCGTCAGTTTTGCGGAGAGGGTGAGGTTTCTTTTTCCCCGGATGTGATGGAGCTTAACGTACCGGGACGCCGCCCTCTGAGGCGCCGGTCTTGGCCTCCTCGATTGCAATTGCGAGACCTTCTGCGTCGTTCATGGTTGTCGTTGGAAACTGGGTTGGCTAGGGTTGTGAGTTTCGAGTTGGCAGTCTGATAGAGAGGCGGATGGAGTGGGGGCGGGGTTCCTTTGGCGCGAGTATTGGTTTTTGGAAGGCAAGAGTCTCACGTTGAGTTGGGTTGATCTGATAATTGTGGTGTGTATGCCGTAATTCTTCCCGTAAAAAGAAGGATAATGTTGAAAAGACGCCAGAGCTGCGTTGCTGGGTGTGCTTTGAGTATGATGGAGGCTTGTGACGGGGACGGTGTGGTGGCGGCGGAGATAGGAGTGGATTATGGGATGGGTTGATCTGGGGGCATCCTTATCAGGTACTCCACTTGGTGATGATGGAGTCTTATAACCATCAAATTGACGAGACATCAGAGCCCTCGAAACTGCGAAATGAGAGATTATCACCTGACATTATGGGGAGGACCTAGGTTCGTCGTGCCGGTGAGTTGTTACTTACAAGGGTGCGGTGTAGCTCCAATGTGGAATAACCGGTTGTCGTCTCCTCGCGCGCAAATGATAGAACACGTCTATTAGCAAATCTGTAGTCAATTGACCACAAAGTTTGGATATAAAATGCAAATTAGTCTAGTCTTATCATCGAGAATAGTCAAGTCTTTGCTCCTTCGTCCGTCTTCACTTTCTATGTCTCCTGAACACGCGCTCTGGTCACCAATGGCGAGGGTGCTGTGTTCAAGGAGTTGCACCACACTAGGCGAACTCGCAGCATGGTGAATATGCTACCTACAAACTTTAATGGCAAACGTGAGTCTTTCTAGTTTCTGCAGAATGCGCTGGATTATTCTCGAAATGCTTCAGAAGACATCGAGGTTGAGAGTAACTAAAGCTTTCTACCTTTGACATGGGACGTCTCTTGCCGGACGAAGTGTGCCAAACTCACTCTAAACGACCGCAATCATTAAATCGTTCCATTTTGTCTAAGACCCTCTTTGAAATGAGGGTGGCAAGAAGGGTCAAAATTAATTCTCACTTCCTCTGGGAAACCTGCTTGACCAACATACTAATCCTGAATTTCTCGTCTTTTCGAAACCATCTATTCTAAGAAGTTACGTGGATCAAATTGACTCGTCATCTCAAAGAGAGTGAAACTGGCTACAACTGGTCCTTCAACCAAGAGCCTCCGAAATATGATGACCGTAGAAGGCAAGCAGGGGCTATGAGAGTATTGCTTTGACATGACCGACAACAAATCGCCAGGTCTATCAATGAGAAAATGCGAAACTAAGCAACAACGAGGACGTTCAAACTCTTACTGTAAAGCGTAGACTTTGGTGCAATTGTAGCAGAGAATATGCTAGTGAAACCCATTAGAAGGGCAAAGTAACGTGAAACCTAAAGAAGTACATCACGACTCTCAACCCCCACACTTCTGAGGCCGTCTTTAAAGAGAAGTGCTGGATGGAGCACTCTGCCGATGAGAGGACAGAGCAGAGCCTATTCGGAGGAGTTCGAAATCGGTTACCTCACGCAAGGACCGAAAACTAGACGACTGCACGGCGGATGCATCGCCGTAGCCCTATTGATAGTTATTCGGACCATAGCATCGGTCGAACTATCGGACGACACACAGCAACAGGTCAGTAAGACCGCAATCTGGACCAAGCATATTTGTAGCTAAAGGTGGCTAGTAAGAAATCACATAGACTTATATTGTTCAGAGACGAGACAAGGCAGGATGAGAGACCAGAATATGGCTGAGGATGCAAACAATGTTCCGGGTTATGCAAGATGCAGAAGAGGATGATGAAGTACATGCGAGCAGCACGAGGGGAGTAGACAGAAATAAATGGTAAGGAAAGACCTGCGCGCCTGTGAGAACAAGCTGATGAACAAAGTCCCGAGACCGAGTGAGGTCCCCGTCCCGAGGCTCACGATGAGTCGTGAGATGGGTGGAGCAGGCCCGTTGGGATCAGCAGATTACATACGACGGCAATGTTACTTTAGATCAATCTTTCCCGAAGCTTGCATCGGCGTTTATCTAAAGTAAACTCGTATATCCAAATTTTGGTGGAGCCCCGTTTCGAGATCATCCCAAGGAGGGAGATGGCCGAAGATCAGCCAGATAGATCCACGTGACGTTGCAGGTGATCGGATGTTTTTTTGCGATGTCGACCACAGCTTTCCCAAGGTACCTTATCCATCCGTACACTAGATCAGCTGTATCTATTAGTGACCTTCTCTCGTCCAGGAATTGACCGTCATCATCGGGCTTGGAAATCAAGGTTTTAGGAAATGGTGCTTGGGTGTCTTATGTAAGAAAACTTTGGGGGTAAGGTTTCGACAGGAAGGCAACGTCTCGCGTCCCGGGTCAGATTGTCTGCTCCTGAGTCTCGATGGGGACCTCGTTCCTGCTCGGCCAAGCGGCCAAAAATGCTGTGAAGCCCCTCCTTCTTCTCCGCTGCGCGGGCATCTTTGTAGTGGACCGTGCACGGATGTCAACTTGACTCCTCGGCTGAAGCGCCAATGGGGGCCAAGGTTGGTGTCCACTCGCTCGTCCTGGCAGGAGCATTGCAATTCCACTGTAAATAGCATTGGATCCCCATCATCATCACGGGTTCCCTTCCCATGCCCAGTGAGGACGAGACAGACTTGTGCCGTTCCCCGCTGGGAGAAGAGGGGGGATCCAACGAAAGCCCCGGCAAGGCATTGTCTGGCAGATGGCTTCTGCTGCCAGGTGCTGGCTGTTGACATTGTTCTGCTTGGAATTCTTCCCCTCGTTGGAAATTGCCTGACAGGTATCCGTACTTCGTACTCCGTACAGACCACAAGAGTATTACTCACCGTCTTAATTGGGTTGGGAAGGTGGGAGGGGGGCGGAAGTGCCTCCATGCAGGTGCAGAAGTAATACAGATAGGTAGGCATGGACAGCGAAACCCAACCTCAATGACCGGGACTCGAAGACCAAATCTATTCTCACAATTCGTTCCCGTTGGCTGGGGGTACTTTAACCTCTGTATAAGTTAAGTTGTCGTATCTTTCACCCATGGAGGACAACATTCATTCTCACTGCCTGACGTATTGTTAAGGGGTTCTGAAGGAAGGAGATGGGCAAAAAAAAAAAAAAAGAAGTCATCCTCTGGGTTGTGACGCCACAAGCCAGCGTCTCTGAAGAACCTAAACAGTGCATAGAGATGATGATCCCCAGTCTTAGCGCCTTACGGCAGTGAGGAGTAATTTGGGTATCCGAAGGAGGAAGGGACGGGAAGGTACCTTACGCTTTCCGTAGTGCGGTGTGCCTGCCCTCTTGGGTGTTGGCTTCTCGTAACGTAAGGAACCTCCCATGCACTTTGGGTGCCTGCCTAATACCTAACAAACCCGATCCCGTCGCTCTCTCTCTGTCCGTCTCTCTCGGCTCTCCCACTCCATGCCCAGCTTTCACTCCGCTCTGTCTTGTTCGCCTTACCGCCCGCTGCCCTCCCCTGCCTTACCCGTACGCTACCTCCCATCCACACAAAACACACTACACGAGAGGCAGGCACGGCAACAGCCCAGTGCTGGTACCACTACACACATCCGTACCTACGTATCTTTCCATACTTTACCTAGGTACCTCACTTTCTTCCTTACGAAGTACCCTTTCTGCGTGCTCAAGGCTCATGGTACGAACGAACAATAGGCAAAAGGAAGAAAAAAGACGATAGAGGATTTGGATTCTACCGCCCATTTATTTACCTTCGCATCACCCACATCTGCACCCACAGCACAGTCCCGCCCTGGGATTCGCCCGTCTTTTTGGGTGCAGCCGATCAAGCCCACACTAAATCTCCCTACGGCCAGCAACGAACGCCTCACAACAAAACCACCACCGCGCCTTCGCCCACACTCCTTTGATCAACCTCGACCCGGCCCCTTTTTTCCTTTTCTCAGCCGGTGTTGGTGCTGGACTTTGGACTGCGACCACTACCACTACGTACGTGTACGACGCCTAGGACAAGACGTTTCTAGGTTTTACCTATTTCCCCCCCTCCCGCATCCCATAGCCTTGCATTACTACTGTGGTCCGCCCTTGTGTGGTTTTTTTTCCTAATCTCATTTCCGCCTTCCTTTCTTCGGACGAGACAAGACGAGAGACGAAAGTGTTCGGTCGGTCGCTGGCAGCATTTCAGCTCCTGCTCCAAACGTCGCCCTGTTGCTGTTGCTGCTGGGCTGCTCCACTACCACAAGCCAACAACCTAACCTCGACGACCCCGACCCATCCTCCCCGACCCTCTTCTCACCCACGCCCTCACCCTCACCCTGACCCCCGACTATTCGTACTCGACCGACTCCCAATCTCAATCCCAACCCCGACTACCACCACTTTCACCACCGCCATCCCCTTCAGCCCAGCGCCTGTGACGTGGCTATCCGTCTCCCGCCAGTCTTGCGAGTACCTGACGGCCGTTACCCGAATTATTTACTATCGCTCAGCACGATACCGCCGCCGTGCGACGACGACCCTTTTCTTCAATTCTCGACCCCAGTACATACCTACCTACCCATTCCACCACGACCACCCCCCGGCATTTTCGCAGCCCAGCTGATGCCGACCGATAATTTCCTGGCAACTCCCACCTCCGACACTCAAGGCTGACGGGCCGCTTTCCAATCCATCCCGCCCTACCAGTGAAGAGTTGCAATCGAACACACCCACGCGCAGGCAAAACGACGCGAACACTATTGCACCATGGCGTCGGATTACGATCATGGGGCGCCGGACGACCGCTTGCAAGCCCACCCCGCCGCCACCCCTATGGAACCTGGTTATCCCGGTGATGGAGTCTGGCAGAACGGAGGAAGGAAAACTCCTGAAAGAAATTACCGCTCACAACAGCCCTCGCGCTCACCCGGTCCCAGAACACCTGGTCGAGAGAGCGACTCAAGGCGGAGCGGTGAACGCAATAGATCCAAGGGAAGAGGAGGTGGGCGGTCAGCCAGCGGTCAACAGAGGACCTGCAAGAAGTGCGGAGAGCCTCTCACCGGCCAATTCGTCCGCGCACTGGACGGAACCTTTCACTTGGATTGCTTCAAGTGTCGTGTAGGTGTTGAGAATGCCTCCTGTCCTTGCCCGATTGTTCTAACCCGACTTTTACCATCAGGACTGCGGTCAGATTGTAGCATCCAAGTTCTTCCCTGTCGATGATGAAGGTGGTGAAGGACAGTATCCTCTGTGCGAGACAGACTACTTCCGCCGGCTAGGTCTACTATGCTTCCAGTGCGGTGGTGCCCTTCGAGGCTCCTACATCACCGCTCTCGACCGAAAGTATCACGTCGACCATTTCACATGCTCCCTGTGTCCCACGGTCTTTGGCGCGCAGGACAGCTACTACGAGCACGATGGCAACGTGTACTGTCACTACCATTACTCTACCCAGTTTGCGCAAAGATGCAATGGCTGCCAGACTGCAATTCTCAAGCAGTTTGTGGAAATTTACAGGAACGGACAGAACCAGCACTGGCATCCCGAGTGTTACATGATCCACAAGTTTTGGAACGTGCGACTGACGCAGCCGAGCGATCCCTCCGAATTACCCCAGGAGACCGACGACCCCGCGACGCGCGACATCATTAGAGAGGAGGAAGAGCGCATGGAGGAGAAGGTCTACCGCATTTGGAGCGTTCTGTCAACTTTCGAAGAGTCGTCTGCGGCATGCATCTCCGACATGCTCCTCCACGTGAGCAATGGCGCCTACGTTGACGGCGTGCTGGTCGCCAAGAAGTTCATCTGGCACGTTGAGATCTTGTTCCAGTCTGCTGATCGCCTGGACTACTCCATGGATCAGTTGAAGCTGAAGGGTGAGTTTGGATAGTCATACTCGGACCACGTTCTTCGCTAACAGCCCAGAAATAGGATTGTCGTATGGCCGTGAGGCCAAGCTTCTGTGCAAAAAGATAGTCTCTTTCTTCTCGCTGCTGTCCAAGACTCAGGACACAGGAGCCCGTAAGCTTGGCGTCACTCAGGAGTTATTGTCTCTCGTCACGGGTCTTGCCCACTACCTCAAGCTCCTCATTCGAATCTGTCTGCAGGGAGCATTGCGCCTTGAGAAGGAGTCTAAGAGCTCCGACGGCATTTACCAGTTCCTGGATGACCTGAGTGAATTGGACAGCGTTAAGCCCGACGACAACACCCTCCAGGCTATTGCAGGCAACTCGCGCCTTTCGGCGAAGGACTCTGATCACTGTGCACTCTGCAACAAGTCTGTTGAGGACGAGTGCGCAAAGAACTCTGATCGGCGGTGGCACATTGCCTGCGTCAGCTGCTCACGTTGCACTCGAGATATCGGTCGCAAGCTGGAAGATGCTCGCTACAATGCCTTTGACAAGAAGATCTACTGCAACAACTGCATCGGCGCCAACGGTGATGATATGCCGCCTTTTGAGCATGTTACCAAGCTTCAGCAGTACGTTTTCTTGCTGAAGGTGGCGCTCGCGAGGTTATTGGATATTCTGCGAAGCAATGGCGCTTTGCCTCGGCAAAACGATGACCAGAACTCGGATGGTTATGGTCCAGGCGAGGGTGCCCGAACCTTGGCTCCCGGAGAAGCACCCTACCTAAACTCAGACAACCGCTCGAAATCGTACGCTGGAGATCAACGGGAGCACAATCGCGAGTCTTCCTACGAGAACACGCTGAATGATGTCCGTCGATTGAGAAGTACTCGTCTCGACAAGCATTTGTCTTCTAGCTTTCGCAAGGCGAGAACGTCGCGCATCATGGACGGCCCCGAAGGACGCAGCGTTCGCCCAGGATCGGCAGGCGAGGACCTAGGCCGAGCCGATGGGGACCTCCATATTCTTGAGGAAAGAAGAGGCCCAAACGACGAAGGCACAACGGACAAAATGTTCAACCACCAGGACGCTCTGACCCTAGATGATATCCCGCGAATCGTTGCTGCCGAACAGGTCAAAGAACAGCAATACAAACCCAACCGCCAGGAGCTCTTCCGGTCTCCCGCAACCGACCCCATGGGACATCAAAGATCGCAGTCGGCAGGTAGAGAGACCGAGATGCGCATGGGCGATGCGATGCCTCAGCGTCTGGGACGGAAGTACTTTTCGGAGCTCTCGGGATTGGAGTACTTTATCGTGCGTCATCTGGCAGTCTTGACTCTGGCGCCTGCCGTTGAGAATGAGTTTCCTTTGGAAGAGTTACTGAGCTTCATCGAGTCGAGGAAGCAGCCCACATTCTGGAAGAACTTGGGCAAGGCCTTCAAGAACGACCGGCCAAAGAATGTTAAGAAGAAGGGCATCTTCGGAGTCCCCTTGGATGTCATTATTGACAAGGATGGCGCTGAGTCAACAGACGGTGTAGGTCCCGGAACGCTCAAGATTCCTGCAATCATCGACGACCTCATCTCGTCCATGAGAAAGATGGATCTTTCCGTTGAAGGTGTCTTCCGAAAGAATGGCAACATCAAGAAGCTGTCTGAGCTGTGCGAAAGAATCGACCGGGAAGGCTGCGACAGCATCAGCTTCATGGACCAGCCTGTTGTGCAGGTTGCCGCTTTGTTGAAGCGCTATCTGCGTGAGCTTCCCGATCCTCTTTTGACTCACAAGCTCCAGAAGCTCTGGATCTCCGTCGCCAAGATCCAGGACGATGCAAAGCGCAAGTCGTACCTGCACCTCATCTGCTGTCTCTTGCCTAAGGCTCACCGAGACTGCTTGGAGATCCTGTTCTGCTTCTTGAAGTGGGCGGGATCCTTTCACCAAGTGGATGAAGAAGCCGGATCCAGGATGGACATCAAGAATTTGGCAACAGTCATTGCGCCCAACATTCTTTACAACATCAACAAGACGGTCACCCTGGACAGCGATCCCATGTTCGCCATTGTCGCTGTGAACGACATGATCACGTCCATTGAAGAGATGTGCCTGGTAAGATTGTCCCGCCACCAAAATCTCCCTTTTACTAATCACTTCATAGGTCCCCGAAGAGCTTATGGAAATGGTCAACGATCCGTTTGTGTTCGGCAACACTGCTGATCTTACCACCAAGGACATCCTTAAACGTTACCAGGATCGTATGGGTCAAAGACCAGGATTGGGCGAAGTCAATGAGGTCTTTAACAGACCGGACAACTCATCCCGGCCTCCTCCCCGAAGGGTTGAGACCGACCCCGCTCTGTGGCAACAACAAGAGAGCAGTGTCCGCACTGTACAGGAACCGCCCATGCCCATTCCTCCTTTCAACCAACCCAATCCTGGTACACCACCCCAGAGATGGCGGCCACATGAAGAAAATGGCCACCCTTCACCTTTTGGCGGAAGTCAGTACGAGCATTCAGATACCGAGGGTCCTTCTGAAGCTCAAAAGAGAGAATGGCGCCAGTCAGGTGGGGTCTGGGGAAGACAGAACGGCGGTGTTGGCGTTGGTGGAAACACATAAGCCAGCCGAGCCAAACTGCCACGGCAAACTACACACATATCGAAGAGTGATTTTTCTATGAGGCTCACATCACTTGCTACGCATTCTATTGGGACTGCAATTTGGGGTTTCGGAGAGTCACATATCCATGCATTGTTGGCGGCGTTCCCAACCGTTTTTATCAGAAGGACAAAAGAGTGCTCTTTTGTTCGGCTACTCAACTCACGACAAGGCGGCATGAATGATTTTTTTCTTTTCAAAATTCACTTCCAACACTTTGTCAAACCCTCTGCTTCTAGGCTTCACTAAGAGTGAAGCAACAGATCGATATAGGATGAGGTATCCTAACGGTCTGCTGGTGTTCTACGCATAAGACACGATCCCATCGTCTGCAGGAAAGGGAGGGGAAAGAGGATTGGTGGTCTTGGTTTGACCCTGGCTTGTTTGGAGTAAAGGCCCAAGGCCTATTGACTTTGTCGATGGGCGAAACCGGTCTGGTTTGATTGATATGTCTCGAGCTGGACAGCTGGCCTCGTTTCTTCTTGGCTTGCGCGCGAGACCTAGTATAGCTTCGCTTCTTTTGTTGAAACAGGGAGATGTCGGATTACATTTGTGAGATGATCTGGAGCCAAGAGGGAGGGGAGGAGGCCGAACAGTGCGCCACATTTGCGCGCATCTTGAGAAAGGGGTTGGGGGGAATGGGGAAAAACTTGTTTGTTGTTCGTCTTTGAAGGACACTCTTTCGTGTAGCTACGGATGGAGCGAAAGGACCACCTAGGTAGTTCCGCCAATGCGAGTACGACAGGCCAAGCATCGCCTGCAGGTTTTCTCCAGCTTGTTTCCTTTGGACATATGTGCAAACATGGTTGTGCTTCCGTTTCCTACACAACTGTTTAAGAGCTCATTCGCAAAGTCTGCCTACACACAGAGAAAGGCACAGAAGACGCAGTTGAAAGTATTGTTTGCTCATGACATGGCCGCTTGTAGGCCGTTTATTAGTTCCTCTTGCATTGAGGGTGTATATGTATGTATATACGATGGGAAAAAACTCTGAAACCTGTTTTTTTTCAACATGAAGGTCTCATATCCCTAAAACACCACCGCCCTCATCATAACCATCACCGCCTTTGTACCAGCGCACCCTTTCATGCCTTGACACTCACCTTGCCAGCCTTCTCCTGATCCAGGAACCACTGTACGCCCCTCTTGATGCCATCGTCGAGACCGACAATGGGCCGGTACCCGAGCAGGCGCTTGGCCTTGCTGATGTTGTAGTAGCGCGTCATGCAGCTGTAAATGCAGCGCTGGCGGTTGAAGATGGGCGGCTTGCCAATGATGGCGAAGAAGATTTCGGAGCAGAAGCCCAGGGCGATGCCGAACTCGCGGGAAATCTTCCAGGCGTGGTCAGTGCCCTTGTCGGAGCCGGCGGCGCGCCAGATGGCGCGGGCAAAGTCCCAAAAGTAGATGGGGCTGTCGTTTGTGACGAGGAAGGCCTCACCGTCAACCTTTTCGTGGTCGAGGGGTGTGATGGAGGAGGCGGCGGTGGCGAGGAGGAGGCGGGCGGCGAGGAGGTGGGCGTGGGCGACGTTGCCGACGTAGGTAAAGTCGAAGAGGTTGTCGTTGTCGCCGAGCTGGACGCCCGTCTTGCCCTCGCGGTAGATCTTGACCATTTGGTGCGTCACCATGGTGTCGCCCTCGCCGAAGATGCCTGCGGGGCGGATGGCGGATGTGAGGAGGGGGTAGGGGTCTTGACGGTTTGCTTCGAGGACCAGTTCTTCTGCGGCGGCCTGTGGAGGGATCACATGTCAGTTATTGGGGCCGCAACGAGACTTCAGAAAGAAGCAATGGAGATTGGATATTCGCGCTGGAAGAGCAACGGAGGAGGCTGGCGCGCGCGCACCTTGGTCTCGGAGTAGTACTCCGTCTGCAGTTCGCCGCGGATGACGGGCCACCTCTCATCGGCATTGATGAGATCGGTAGCATTGTCGCTAATGATACTCGCGGACGACGTGTAGACGAGAGCCTTTACGGAGGCGGCTTGGCAGGCGGCGATGATGGAAGCGGTGCCGTCGACGTTGACCTTGCGGAAGAGGTCCTTTGCGATGGCGCTGTCGCCTTGGGGCGCGGGGGAGGCGGTGTGGACGACGACGTCGGGCTTGACGTTCTCGAAGAGGGACTTGATCTTGTCGGTGTCGGTGATGTCTGCCTCGTGATAGTTGGCCTTGGGGTTGCGGTTGTTGGCGCAGCGGAGGTCTACCACGTCGACGGATGCGACGGCCCAGCGGTCGCCGGCCAGGAGCTGGTTGACGACGTGGTGGCCGAGGAAGCCGTTGCCGCCGACGACGAGGACCTTGCCCAGGTTGGGGGGCGTTGTGGGCTTCGCAGACATGTTTGCGGCGCTGCTGGTTTTTGGGCGGGAGAGAGAAGGTGGTAGTCGGGTTGTTATCGCGGGCTGAGGTGGAGGAGTTGGAGGAGGCTCTGGGAAAGGAGAATTAATTGGTGTGGTCTGTTGTCTCTGGTCCCCTGAACTGAGGATTTCTGGGGTAATGGCACAGCACCAGATAGGCCAAGCTTCAAATTGTCTGATCCAACCTCGAAGTACGATGGATAGCTCCAGTACCGAGTACAGACCAACAAGGCAAAACTGTTGCTGAGTCGGCGGTACAACTACTTTTGAGCTCTCCAGCACGCTAATTGCATTTAGGCTACGGAGTACAGGCCAGAATACCTACTCTGTACCTTGCAGAACACTCTCCGGCGCTGTTGTGGCGGGGCCGGTGAGGTGTGTGTATCTGCTTCCGCATTCACCACGACACGAAGTGCGGAGGGGAATGCAACAAGGTGCCCCACCTCGAAGAGCACTGACTTCGAGGCGTGCAGGCGCGTTTCTTCAGACTTCACCTTCACTTTAAGTCTAACATGCCTTATTCTTAGGCCAAGAGCTCTGGACTACATCCTTCCATTCTCCTTCACTCTTATTTTTTTTCGTCTGGAAAAGGGAATCATCTCTTTTTCGCCTCCTTTTTGGACCTTACAAAGGCACCTTCCATTGTTATGCATCTTGGCGCGTGCTCTTGGAGATGACTGCGCTCTTCACTGTCGCAGCGAGGTTGTTATGGAGGCACATGACAACGTTGAGATCTTAGTGCACGTCACAGCGCCGTGCAGGAACATCGATGATGTGCGCTACCGGGCCCTTGCACAGGCATATCTCGACTTCTCTCCCGCAAGCCAGATCGATATTTCAAGCAGACCTGAAGCAGAGGATGAAGATGTCAAAGCTATTGCCAGCTCAGAGGCTGAGCCAGCAGCGACGCCTGCTTGGTCAGATGCGCCAAACCTCAATAGCGAAACAACTCAACTGGCAACCTCATCACCACCGCATATACCGCCACCTCCACCACCTCTATACCCTACAACTTTTGGATCATTTGAATCACAGCAGCTGTCCTTCAGGAGTGTCTTGGACAATAGGAATTCCCCGGGCCTCGGTCGGCCACTTGACTATGGAGACATACCGCCTTCGTCTCAACCTGTGGCCGATTCACAGCCGACGCAGGCTAGTTGGGTAGCTCCTCCCAGCGTCATTGGCGATTCTCAGCCGTCATATGATATCAGTCTCGCTGAGTTCTCATCTCCGAGTCGACTTTTTGAACATCTGGCGGGACAGTTCGATAGTCAGCTCGACGAGGACTCTCAGCAAGTTTCCCCAGTGGCAAGCCAACAGCAGACGCCGGCAGTATCAGAGACGGGGACACAAGCCATGGAGGAAGACTCAGATGTGGATGAGGACGATGGTCAGGTCGTTCTCGTAACGTCGAGCAACTCTCTGGCAGTCAAGAGCAATACGACTCCAGTTTCGGCGGCCTCTTCCTTACCCGCAGAGGCCATAATTCTGAATACGCCGTTCCCCGTCTTGAAGCGACCGCCTCTAGTCAGCTCTCCCTTCGAGCAGATGATACAGGACACTCCTTGTCAACCGTCTCGGAAGAGAGCAGCACCGTCGTCGCCAAATCGAGCCGGCTCCGAGCCACCACTCCCGTCGAAACGGAATAAACGGTCAGCGCCCATCTCAGAATCGAGGTCGGTCATCACGAGGAGCTCCTCAGATATAGGCCCGGGTCCCAGCGAACTCTTCCGGCCTCAACGGCCTCCTAATGAGAGGCACCTGAGCTACCTCTCACGTCTCGAGATCCACCCCGTCGGCCCCCCAGTCGGAACCAGCGAACTTACGCCAGATGATCTCCTGACGCCCAAGCTGAATGAGTTAGCCCGCCAGCTCAACATATCGAAGCGCTTCGCCCCGGTAGAACAGACGAGGGAACTGCGTCCCTTTGAGCGAGGTCACTGGCAGCTCGACTGGACGGGCTGGCGACCGAGTCTCCGTGAGCGAGCCTGGCACTTTCTGACGGATTACATCCTTGAAGGCTTCGCCGGATGGGGCGTCTGGTGCAAACGCGCAGAGGACTGGTCCTGGATACGCGTGTACTGCTGGGGCCATATCGTGGGCCACATCTATCTGGCCCTGTACCTGGCGAGCGAGCGGGCGCTGAAGAAGGATGCGGCGAGGTGGCTGGACGGAGCGGGCGAGATTATCATCATCACCAATGGCCACGAGAACTCCGAGTCTGGGGAGAGCGTGGAGGGTGATCCCGATGATGGACTGTAGTAGGTTGGGGGAAAGACATGGCGGGCAACTTTTATTTTTGGTTTTTCTTGTTTTCCTTGGCTAAGCGAGGCGTTTGCACAGGGCAAGGGGTTCGTTCTGCAGGGCGGTATTGCTTGACAAGTTTGGATACGGCGCAAACAACCGGGTTAGCATAGAAACAAACAATAGGGGCAAAGGGTCTCCTGCAAACTGTTATATAGGGAGCAAATTGAACATTTCTTTCTGGTCGCGAAAACCTCTCTCTGACATTTGGTATCTGAAATACAGCTATGGAACATCGACCCGATCCCTCTAGCAATTCCTAATCTGTACAGGATAAGGAAAACCAATAAACAAACCCATCTCTTCCTGACCTCCTCCTCCTCGTCGTACACGTTTCATCGCTCTGCTGAACTCGCTCAGACACAACCTACTTTTTGACACTCGACGCCGCGGGGGAATTCATTTCCTCAAGGGGGAAAAAAATAGAAAGGGACTACGGTTTAGGCTTGTGACCTGGACTGAGTGATTCTCCTTACTCGGGGGAAGGGCTACGCTTGGCAACATGGCCCAAGATCTCTAGCGACTCGCGCTCCCACCGGTCAGAGTCCGCCTTGGCAAGCTCCTCATACGCAACCTTCTCGGGCGGGGAGAGCTGCTTCCACTCGCTGCTAACGGCTGTCAGGGCATCCCTCGCCTTCCCTTCGCCAAATGAGTAGTCGCCGCTGGCAAAACGCGCCTTGACAAAGAGCGCGTAGGCGTTGTGAGGCCTCTTGGGGATACGTTCGTCGCGGATGGCGCGCGGGTTTTGCTTGCCGCTGATGTTGCGGAGCCTCGCGCGGGCGCGGTTGGCCTCGACCACAGTCGTCGGCTGAAGCGTCTCAACCCACGACTTGTAGGCGGCGTTGTTGGTCAGCTTGTTCGCTTCGGCAGTCTCCTCAAGACGCTGTCATGCCAGATTTGTCAGTATCTTGGGTAACCATCACGACGTGAGGAGCTTCCGTCGTAGCTCCACCGGGGGTGAGCAGGACAGAGAGTCGGTCCTTACCTGGGCGTCATATGAGGACAGATTCTTAAAAGACTCGGCGAAGACCTTGATCCGGTCGCTCAGGGGAAGGTCTGAGTTCGGCTCCGCAGCAAACTGTTGCGTACTGTACACTAGCCATGCGTTCGTCGGGAGCTTCTTCGGCTCCTGGAGCAATGCCGCCTTCTTCCACTCCCGCACTTTGAGCTTCTGCTGCTGCTCGGGTGTGAGCACCTTCTTAACCCGCTTCTTGGGCGCAGCCTTCTTCACGGCGACCTTCTTCTTCGCCTTGGGCTTCTTAGCGGCGGGCTTCTTGGCCTTGGTGGCGGACTTCGTCTTGGCGGCCGTGGTCTTCTTCGCCTTGGTCGTGGTTGTCGCCGCCTTGGTAGCGGGCATGCGCGCCCATTGTGAGGTCGAAAAGCCGTGGCAGGACGCCGCGCGCGCGACGGCGAGCTGGGTTCGCGGAACTGCCAATGGGGCGGTGCGTAAGAGCAGGCGCTGGGCGGCGGCGCGGCCGATTGCTGTCAACATGCTGTGAGCTTTTGAGTGGGCTGAATGGGTGGTGAATTCGGTGAGCCGGGAGATGTTTTGGTGGTGGTGGTTGCGATAGGGCAATCCGGAAGGGACAGGATAGAGCGAATCGAGTGCGAGCGGTATTGAGGTCAAGATCAGGCCAATCGTGGGAGTCGGGGGAGTCGGGGGGGTGTTTTCGACACCACAATTGCCGTCCGTGGTGTTGACGGAATGACGAGGGACTGTGAGCAATGCGACTGAACTTGGTCGACCTCCTTGTTTGTTTGACCATCCACCCCTAAAGCTCCGATGTACCGAATACTCGATTTCCGTGATCTAAGGGTGCAAAACAGAGTACCGAGTACTCCGCCTCCAATCACCCACCACAACAGCTCCAAGCTGACCATTTTTGGCAAGCCCACCCCAAACTTGCAGCCCCGTTTGTCAGGCACCAGAGCCTTGACGCAGTAGCTCTAGCGGCGGCGGGAACAGCAGCAGCAGCAACTGGCCTGTCAGTCAGCCAGACAGCCAGACAGCCAGACAGCCAGACAGCCAGACAGCCAGCCGGCCAGCCGGCCTGCAGAGGCACCCACGGGACGCGAAGCTCACCCCGGACAAGCTTCAATCAACTTCACATACCAAACCATCTCCAAACCCACCCACGAACTCGCAACAACGACGAAGCCAATCCTCCTTCCGACCACCATTCCATCATCCCGACCGTCAGATCACACAGAAACCAGCAATCATGGATCACAGACCGCAAGCTTGGGGCCGTGTATGCAATCCCCAGTCCCTTCCCCCTCCCCTCCTTCCCGGGAACCTCAGCCTCGCATCGTGGACTAACAAGCCGGAACCCCTCCTCTTAGCCTAGAGACGATGTCTACGGAGCCTACGATGGCTCGTACATGAACACCAACGGTCCCAACCAAGCGACACAGGCCCCCATCGTCACGGGTACATCAGTCATCGCCATCAAGTTCAGCGAAGGTGTCGTCATTGCCGCCGACAACCTGGGTACGTCTTTGTCTTCGCTCGCCCTCCAATGTCGTCCTGTGCTATCACCATACTTTTCGAACCACAAAAGCTGACAATCCGTCTATCATAGCATCCTACGGCTCCCTCGCTCGTTTCACCGACGTCAAGCGCCTCCGCACTTTCGCCAACTCCACCGTTGTGGGCTTCGGCGGCGACGTCTCCGACATGCAATATCTCGACCGCCACCTCTCAGGCCTCGACATTGAGGAGTCCTACGACCTGGCCAACGATGCCCCCGCCCGGCTCAACGCCGCGAACCTCCACAAGTACCTCTCCAAGCTCCTCTACAAGCGTCGCTCCGACTTCGACCCCCTCTGGAACCATCTTCTCGTTGCCGGCCTCGACGACAACAACAAGCCCTTCCTCGCCGCCGCCGATCTGCTCGGCACCACTTTCACCTCTCCCTCCCTGGCAACGGGTTTCGGCTCAGCCCTCGCCCAACCCATCATGCGTCGCTACGCCCCCGACGAGGAGACCGCCGCCAAGCTCTCCAAGGAGCAGGCCGTCGACGTGATCAAGGAGTGCATGAAGGTTCTCTTCTACCGTGACGCTCGCAGCTCGGATTCCTACTCCATTGCTGTAGTGACCAAGGATGGTGTCGACTTGAAGGAGAGTGAGAAGCTTGAGAAGCAGAGCTGGAAGTTTGCGGAACGGATTCGCGGCTACGGTACGCAGGTCAACTAAAGGGGGAATTACAAGGATACGTGGGAACTATAGAGACAGGCAGTGAGAGTGTGGGTGGAAATGAAATGACAATGACTGGTTATTCGGCATAACCTCTGGCGATCCCTCGGTTGGGAATACTCACGAGACTCAAATAGTAGAAGAGAAGCACAAGCCCTCAACCCAGGGCTTATCGGCATCACGAAGAGATCAGGTGTGTGCGAGAAAGCATGTGTAACACCAAATGAAATAAACAATATTGTTTTCATTGCTTCAGGTTGCCTGACTACGGCATTTAACCTCAAAAAAGATACGCTCCTTTATCTTGGCCGGCCCAAATCTACCATGCTGGACCATTCCCTCATTTTCACAGTACCCAGTAATACATCAGAGGGCTCCAAAGTTGCCATCGCCTTTTTGTAGCCCGCTGTGACATCAAAAGCCTCAAGGGCTTATCCTCCCTTTTGGCAATCCAACTCCAGTCGGGCGAATCACCCGACAATAAACCAAACTTCACCCATGTTTTATGAGCAGTTTACTCGACAGTGACAGACTTGGCCAGGTTACGAGGGAAATCAACGTTGAGTCCCTCCATAACAGCCAGCCAGTAGGCGATCAACTGCAGAGGAACGACGTTGAGGATACCCTGGAGGGCGTCGACCGTCTTGGGGATCTCAATCTTCTCGGCCTCGCTGGTCTTGAACTCCTCGTCACCGGGATTGCAGATGACAATGGGCTTTCCGCTGCGAGCAATGACTATTCGATTTGTTAGCAAATGGTAAATATTGATAGTGGCTGGTCTTCCTAAACTTACCTTGCTGGTAGGCGTTGAGCGACTTTGTGAAGAGGTTGTCACGGGTAAGAATCATGATGATGGGCAGGTTCTCGTCAACGAGAGCGAGAACACCGTGCTTCAGCTCACCGGACATGACAGCCTCGCAGTGAAGGTAGGAGATTTCCTTGATCTTCAGAGCACCCTCAAGGGCGGTAGAGAACTGGGCACCACGACCGAGCAACAGAAGGGACTTCTGGTTCTGGAAGGTCTTGGAGCAAAGCTCCTTGATAGACTGGTCTTGGGTGAGGATATCCTTGATCTGCTCAGGGATCTTGGCGAGACCCTCCATAATCTCCTCACGGCGCTTCTGCTTGGATGCACGGTCCTCACTAAGGGAGAGTGCGAACATGACCATGGCAATGAACTGGGAGGTGTAGGCCTTGGTGGAGGCAACACCGATTTCGGGACCAGCGTTGACGTGAACACCGCAGTGGGTGAGCAGAGAGATGGAGGAACCGACGACGTTGACAATACCGACGGTCAGGGCACCACGCTCCAAGCAGTAGCGGAGAGCCATAAGAGAGTCGGCAGTCTCACCAGACTGGGAGACGAAGACGCAAGTATCGTCACGGAAGACGGGCGCCTGTCTGTCGAGGAAGTCGGATGCCAGCTCAACCGCGATGGGGATCTCGGCCAGCTCTTCAAAAACACCACGAACGGCCATGCATGAGTGGTAACTAGTACCGCACGCAATAAAGATGATTCTGCGGCAGCGGCGGATGGTAGAAATGTAAGAGCGGAGACCACCAAGGGTGACGGTCTTGTTGGCAGCATCGAGACGACCTCTCATGGTGTTGACGACGGACTCGGGCTGCTCGAAAATCTCCTTCTGCATGAAGTGATCGAACTTGCCCTTCATGATCTCTTGAAGCTCAAGCTCCAGGGTCTGGATGGTGCGCACATTGGAGCTGCCGTCCGCCTTCTTAAGACGGTGAATGTTCAGCGAACCCTCGTGAATGTGGGCAATGTCGTCATCCTCAAGGTACATGACCTTCTTGGTGTGCTCAACGATGGCAGAGGGGTCAGAGGAGAGGAAGAACTCGGTGGGCATAGGCATGCCGTCATCGGTCATGAAAGCGCGCGACTGCGAGCGGTGCAGTAGCGACTTGTCGGGGGCACCCAGCAGAGTGTTGGGGTTCAAGAAGTTGTCCTGCTGCTTCTTGAGGGCAACGTTCTGGGAGGCAGCCTCGGCGGAGAGGGCACCCTCCTCGGAATACTCGACATCGACGAAGTCGACCTTCATGCGCTTCTGAGTCTTGACACCGATGACAAGGGGAGAACCCTTGCGGGCGGCGATGACCTCATGAGGGTAGTGAACGGACTTGATCAAAAGTCCGTAAGCGCCCTCGAGCTCGTTGATGACAGCCTTGGCGAGGTCGGTGAAGCCAATATCGGGGTGCTGGTCGTACAGGTACTTGGCGAGCTTAGCAATGCACTCGGTGTCGGTTTCGGTCTCGAACTTGAAGCCCTTGGCGCTCAAGAGGGTCTTGAGCTCCTTGTAGTTGGTGATGATACCATTGTGGACGACGGTGAACTCCCAGGTAGGATCAGATCTAGCAGGTGGGAAGGCTCGTTAGCTACTTGGTGTTTTTGCTAACAGGGAAGCATTGAAGGGAAAGTTTGCTGTTGTTTTTGCGGGTGTGCAGACGTACCTGTGGGGGTGGCAGTTCAGACGAGACGGGGGACCGTGGGTAGCCCAGCGAGTGTGGGCAATACCGGCGTGTGAATCGAAGTACTTGGTCTCGTCGACCTTGGACTCGGCGATAAGCTCCTTGAGCTTGGCGACCTTGCCAACCTCCTTGAAGGCGAAGACCTCGTTCTTCTTGTCACCGTCGACAGCAAGACCGGCCGAATCGTATCCACGGTACTCGAGACGGGAGAGACCTGTGGGAAGCAATGGCCCGTTAGTAAAACAGCTCTCAAGATAAGGTGGAGCTAGGTGGCTCCAATTGGAAGTATCCAGGAGGAGGCGGTGTACTCACCGTTCACCAGAGTGTCGAGGATGAACTTGCGGTCCTTCTCCACAAGGTAGTTGACGTAGCCGAAAATGCCACTATTGGGAGAGAGGTGCACGTCAGCTTACTGCTTACTACGATGCCAATTGCCTTTGTGGCTGTCGGTGCCCCGACCCCTTTTTCCGCTGGCAGAAGCTGGGTGGAGGGGAAGGGGAGGATGCCGGCAAGCTTTTAGGAGAGCGGGGAGCGGAATTGGGGGAGACATACCACATGTTGATTTAACGCAATCGAAGACCCTGACAAGAAACGTAAAAGACCAATTAACAGAAAGAGGCGGGGGCTCGGGTGGTAGAGGCGGCGGCGATGGGTATCAAGAAGAGCGAGAGAGATGAATAGTTGGATCGAGAGAGAATGAGTAAAGCAAAGCTAAGATGCAGGAGGCGGGAGCTGAGCAGCTTTATGTGCAGCTGGTTCAACTGGCTGGAGAGCAATGGGAGGGGAGTGTATTGTGTACGTGGAGAGAATACGCAGTAGTGCCTAGAGGCGTGGAGGGGGGCGGTGGGCGGGGTGTGGCAGGGGCGTGCTCGTATTGAGGATGACAGAGAGGGCGCGGCGCGGCACAGGTTGAGGGTGAGGTGAGGGTGAGGTGAGGGTGAGGTGAGGGTGAGGACGAAGGATGACGGGGGATGGGATTGGTGAGTGGGTAGGGCCAGGTACGTGGTATCCGTCCTTGTTATGGACGATGATGACTTGCTATTGCCCAGAGCAAGCCCAGGGGAGGAAACAAGGCTGTAGAGACAAGCGGGTAATGGGTTGCTGAAGCGTTGTTCTTGGTGTACTGACTGTTTACACGATGTTTGGTAGGCAATGTATCCATCACAGGATAGCAAGCCAGTGAGTATCATTCTCTCGATTCATCAGCATGACACGTCAATCTCTGAGAACAGTGAATGAGGCTAGATGCTTTGGGAGGCGGATATGTTTGTTCACTGAGTTGTCTTGCCAGACCTTGCTGGTGGGAGTTGACAGGAAAGCAGCATCTCATTGTCGTTTGCGTTTGCTAGATAGATCTCATGTCTACCTAAGTCATTGATTTGAGTGTCTCATGTTCAGAGGACTCATTGTCTGGTTTACAAATGATGATGGGTGGTTCTCGAGTCACTGACTTGAAGGAGGTGTCTAACACTTTCGCAGCTGGGATGGCATATGTCAGGACTCGGAGCGGACAGGCGCTAGGGCAACGGAATGGAGAATGAATCTAGATTTCGACGAAGCAGGAATACCTGCTCTGCGCAGAGTGCCCAATATCTCTTCGTACCTGTATCCGTAGTTTCGTATGTACTTCTAGTACAGTAAGTCCTTTGCAATTCAATGTCTGGGGCGACCCGGTCAGAGTTGGGAAAGACAGACCTGCCCAGCCAGTGGAAGAGCCGTGAATGCAGCGAGTGAGGGGCAGGCAGGTTTCTGGAGGGCCCCCACCTCACCGGCAACAGCAAAGGAGCTGCAGTTCCTGGCACCACTTGCCTGCAGCAAAACACATCGCGATATTCCTTGGAACCTTGACTTGACCACACATCTTGAAGAACATTTCTAGCCCCATCCCGGCGAAATCCGTTGTGTGCCTGAGCAAACTGCAGACAAGGCAGAATACAGCCCGATGTCTGACATGTTGTCTGGCTAGATCGTTGACTGGTCCGTCTTTTTTTCTTTCCCACCTCACACAAATGAATACAGAGACAGAGTCCAGAATATCTGTATCCGTACGGTAAGGTATCTGGACGCGGCGGCAGGCGCAGTGCAGGAATGCCACCCACCGATTCCATCCCTCAACCTCCTCCTCCTCCTCCTCAAGGCCCCCCCCCCCCCCCCTCCTTTCGTGGACCTGGCGCCATTCCCTGGCTGAGCCATTCGGCTGCTACACTAGCTCCAGCGATCGCCCTCGGTACGTACCGCAATAACATCGTGGGCTTTAGAAAAGACTTGCTTCTTCATTTCAACAGCTGTTACGGATACAGTACGACCAATGCTGTTGGTAAAATGGTTTATAATCGTACCTTAATTAGCACTTACTTGCAAACAAAGTACCAAACGCTAGATGACTAAGGTACCATACGGATTCACCTTTCTCCTCGCTTGAAGAATTCTACAGACAACCAGCCAGCACTCGAATGCGATTTGGCACCATTCTGGCTTCGATTCCGCCCTCGCCGCTTCCATTCCAGAAGGTAGCCGCTAGGAGGGCACGACTGTCTGCAAGCTGCATTTGCAACGCTAAAGCTTTCCGAAATGGTCAGCTTGTGATGAAACTCGCACCAAGCAGGCACAGAGTTAGGAAACCTGCTGCCACCAACTCATTCAACGCCTCACCCGCCTTGCCATCGACACACCTCTCTTTCTTTCCCAACCCGTACCTTTTTACTGCCCAGGTAGGTATTATTGCATCTTTCCTATGAGTTGGCTACGGGAACTTGCCTTGACCCGAGCTCCCCCACTCGCACGCACACATGGCAGGTATCGTATACCTATCCGAGCACGCGCCTTCTGGAGTGCTGATCCCATATGCCCCCTAACCCCATCCTCACACCCGTCACCAACACCAAGATCTGATCAAGTGTCTGTGCCGCCTTGTCCCAACAGCATCTTGTCATTAATCAGGAAACACAAAAGGCACAATTTTACCAAACGCGTTGAAATCTGCGCGTAATGTGGAAAGCAGCACATTGGCAGTACACGAGAACCAAACATGACAAGTCGCCAGTTGTCCAACGTCCGCGATACGGTCCGTCTACCCGATTTGTCGGTTCGATTCTTTCTTGGGTGTTGCCTCAAAGACATCCCCTTAGGTATCCTCGGGCATTGGACATTGGTGTGGACGGCTACCTGCGTTCGTCAGTTTCGGTCCTACCCTCCAACGCTTTTTCGAGGGTTCCATCACCGACATCATCGCTTTTTCGACCCCTTCTTTTCGTATTACCTGGCCCCGACGTGCCCCGGTCCCCAATCATCTGGGTGCGGACACCCCTTGGTTGTCAAGCGCTAGAAAGAATCCAGCGGGGATCGTCGGCAATGTGACACCAAGCGACAAGAATTCCCAAGCTCGGGTCCCCTGGTGTCCAACTCTTGCTGCTTGGCTCCGTTGCTGGTTGCACCCATGAAGCATGGAGGGGCCACACAGGGGAAGGAGTGGAGCTTCCAGGTACGAAGAGAAGGGAAAGAAAAAAACAGAGAAGAGAAGACAACGCACTAAGAAAAGGTACAGCCTCAATTGCCATCGCGAGAACGGGCCCCAAAAGGGGCGGCTCGTCGTCCACTCCGTATAAGAGTCGCCAAAAATAACAACCCGCATCGAGGAGAGAACCCTGCTAGACCGGCTTTTCCTGCAAATCACCATCTGGCATCTTTTCAATGCCACCGCCCATCTCGCCTCCCCAGCTTGACCCAGATCTTGTCGAACCGGCCTCGAGTCCACCCAGCCGAGGCAAACGCTCCCTGAACCAAGCCAGGCAACGTTGAGCGCGCCTGTTTAGTATCATACAGCCGCTCGTTGCGCGCTACCCAGATCATTTGTTATCGAGTTCGTGCTACACACAGTACACCACGTTCCATGGTCCCTGGAATCAGCAAAAATGCCGAATGGAAAGCCGGTACGGCCCACACGGAGAGGATGCATCGCACAACTGTACAAAGTACATTGCCATGGCTCCAATACTGGTCAATCCTAGGAACAACGAACACTACCTACATTCATCAAGCCAGAGCCAAACAAAATCCGACACCTCATGCGTCGATGCGTTCATACCATTTGACGGCCGTCGGGGTACTCGAGACGCCGCCTGCAGAGCATGCCCCGGTTGCAGTCGCTCATCTCCATTCTCATGGCAATCTTCCCATCGAAAACATGTGGCTGACCTTTGTCTCCATTCGTTGCCGTGCGAGATCACCCAAGTAGAGGTGGTCTCAGCTGGAGACCCGCCATCCGCATGCAGCAGCTTCAACAGCCTCCTTTGCACGGCATGGCGGACTCGTCGAATCACAGATTCAGGACCGGACCTTCGATCCTCCCACGCTTACAATGTGCGACCTCATCCCCCACCCGTTGTCTTCTCGTCAGACAGGATTGTAAGCATGTGCTTCCGTCGTCTGCCTGCAGTGTAAGCTGCTAGCGAAGGAACAGAAAGATCATGTAAGACTCGAACAAAAAGCACGCTGTAGCTTCGCTTACACCAAACGATGTCGAGGACATCCCTAAATCCACCCCCTGAGCTATCTGTGGCTTGCACTACAGGTGTACACCCCCCGTTCCTTTCCCCCAGCCCTACGCTTACTTCGGGTCTGCTGTAGACTTGAGGGCCCGTGTCGAACTCGACATTGCTCTAACACGGCATATTCGCCGTGCACCAACATGAATCGGTAGGCAGAGGATGGCATTGACACCGTCCTGCCAGCGGATTAGTATACAATTACGGACAGGCTATTGTTTGTTGGGTAATTCATTGAGATGCTGCTCTGGCACGTGGCGCCGGGTCAAATCCCGTACCCAGCCCCCCCAGCTCAGTCGAGGCTGTGCATTATCAATAGCTTCAAAAATGGAGCCTCACAGCTACGGGCTACCCTAGGCTCGGATCCCCCAAAAATATCTACCAGGGAACATTTGAAGGGCGCAGAGATAAGAAAACTCACCATGGCCATGCATTCGTCATGATCAAAACGCCAAAGCTCTTCGTATTGCTCAAGTCGAGTGAGCATTGAACGCAAGCCGATCAGGCGGGTTAATGTACATCCGCACAACGTCGTCGTCAATGATGGGCACATCTGTTGTGCATGCGCATGCTCATCTTTGGGATCTCGTAGCTGCTTCTATTCCACACCATACGTCTCTATGATCCCGTTGCAAACAACCCCAAACCTGGACTCGGGTATTGTACACTGTTGAACACATTAAAAGACCCTCTCAGCGACTGAACCCGACGATGCTTGTTCCAGCCGCCCCTTTTGATGTCTTTCTTTTGCTCCTCCGCGCCTCATCCCGTGAATCATCATGTCGCTTCCTCCCTGCTTTACAGCTTCTGGTACTCGAGCTTGCCTTCCAGCTTCTTCGACTCGGCGACCTTGCGTACTGCCTTGTTGAAGTCGTCCTGGTTGATTGCGTCGCGGTAGTCCTTGATGGCAAATAGACCACTGGACGGGCATTGCTAGTTAGCTTGCGTGTTCAAAGTATTGCAGGATGCGCCGTCACTTACGCTTCTGTCACGACGTTTCTCAAATCCGCACCGTTGAGACCATCGCTCATCTTCACCACGCTTTCGAAATCAATCTCGCCCTCCGTCACTACGCCCTGGGCATGAATCTTGAGAATCTCCAAACGTCCAACCTCGTTCGGCAGAGCAATCTCAATCTTGCGGTCAAGACGTCCGGCACGGAGCAGCGCGGGGTCAAGGGTATCGGGTCTGTTCGTCGCCATGATGATCTTGGTCTTGCCGAGGTAGTCGAAACCGTCCAACTGGTTAAGCAGCTCCATCAACGTTCTCTGGATCTCACGATCCGCACTGGTTCCCTCGGAGAATCTGCGTCCACCGATGGCGTCGATCTCGTCCATGAAGATGATGCAGGGCTCGTGCTCCTTGGCGTAGCCGAACATCTCGCGAATCAAACGGGCAGATTCTCCGATGTACTTGTCGACGATCGCTGAAGAAACGACTGTTTGATCCCATTAGCACGCCTCGTCCATCGTCTTCCACCACAGCCAACGGACTAGCACCTACCCTTGAGGAAGTTGGTCTCGAGACTGCTTGCCACAGCACGTGCAAGCAACGTCTTTCCAGTACCAGGAGGTCCGTAAAGCAGAACACCCTTGGGTGGCTTGATGCCCACACGTAGGAAGAGCTCAGGGTTCTTGAGCGGCAGCTCAATGACCTCACGAAGCTCGCGAATCTGGTCGTTCAATCCACCGATACCGGCGAAGCTGACTTGACCGGGGTCTTCCAGTGACATGTTGTAGACGAGAGGGTCGACTTCTCGGGGCAGCATACGCATGATCGTGAGTGTCGTCATATCGAGAGCCACGCGCGTGCCTTGCTTGAGTTTGACCTTGTCGACCTTTGATCTGCATCCGACGACATATCTGGGACCGGAGGAAGCCTTTACGATAACTATTCACGGACCGGACAACAACATTGATTAGCAAAGGTTGCATGTGAACCAACCGCAGTGATTTGGGCGGTAGTTATCATAGGTAGTGGTGGCGGGGCGGGGACGGTATCCAGCGGAGGCGGAAAGCGGGATGGGGATGCCTTCACTTACATCTTTCGTCATCGAGCTGCTTCAAGACCTCGCCGATGATCTGACCGACACTCTGCAACGCCTTAATGTTGTCTTCGGTTCTGTCAAACTCCCTCTGCAAGTCCTTGATCTCGAGCCGGAGGGACTTGAGCTTAGCTTCCCACTCCCGGGATTCGAGCAGCTTGGCCCGGTACGAGTCGAGAGCCTTCTGGCGTTCGTCGTCGGAAGACATCTCTGGTTGTGGGAAGTTGAAAAGAAAAGGGCTACTGCCTTGATCTCGTCGAGGGAATGGAATGGCTGCGGTTCGGAAGGGGGTGGTGTGGTGGTGAGGGATCGCGTTCGGGTTTCGAGTTTCGAAGGTTGGGTCGGTTAGTGGATGGGAATGGGTAAGGTAGCTCGTGTGGTAATCAGATCGTTGTTTTCGGAGGTTGTGGTGTCGACGTACCTCCCACTGCAGCCTTCTGCCTCAAAGGCAAGCACGGCTCAGCTCCGACTAGCGCCCTATCCCTGTGGCCACCGAAGCTCTGCCACTGTGCTCTGATTGGCTTGCATTTCGGGACCGGGAAATACCAGCTCCCGCCTAGTCAGCGCCCACCACACCTCCTTCCATCCCCAAGGAAGATGCCAGCTACACCTTGACGTGCTGAGCGTCATTAAGGTAGGATGTATCGGCGAAGCTCACGTCATTGTTAGCTTACAGCTGTGCTCTTTCAGTTTTGAAAATTGGAAGGGTTTCGAGGCTTTCAGAGCTCAATAGTTGTACGACTATGATGGAGGCAATGAGTTCAGTAGGCATTATCAACACGGGATAACTGTTTCTAATGAAGTGCACGTCAATGGCTGGTCAATGGTTGGTCAACACTCTCCGTTAAGCAGAAGTCCACTGAGCGTCTTTCACATCACGGCAATTGGACATCAAGTAGCCAGGCATCGAGGCAGGCCAAAAAGCGTAGTGGTCGTGGGTCAATATCGATTAGGAGGGGTAAGCCTCCAGTAAAGTTATGTACTTAGAATGGTAAGAAACAACTGTCCAACGCCCGGATGTCCTATCTCGCGTTCGTTGATGGACCATCAATTTTCCACCATTCAATCTCCTAATTCCCATAATCTAGATGGCATTGCGAGATAACATGCAAACTGTCGAATGCGGGTGTGCAGTGCATAGATTCAAAGCCTCCCGGGGGATAAATGCAACGAATGAAAACCAGATTCCACCACAGAACTCCAGGAAAGACGGGTATTTGGGTGCGTAAATCATAACGACAGCAGCCTAGGGTAAGCAAATGCTCAACCTAGAAGTTCAGAAGTGATCTCCTCGCGGACCTTTCGGCTCCAATCCATAATGGCCTTCTCAAAGTTGACCCAGACTTCGGAAGAGTTATTGTAGACAATGCCCAAGGCATCGACCTTGAGTAGGACTTCCCAGCGCAGCTCTGCTGCTTTGGCCCAGTATCTGATATTGTCTGCAGACCGATACGGCTTGTCTGTATCGGTATGGAATGTGGTAATCAAGCCAAATCGCCGTTTTGACCTCTTCACCGCCGCATTGTGCAATTCAATTAGGTGAATGCCGTTCTGCAAACTGGTGAGAAAGGGTGTCGGACACTCGCTTGCGTGAGCTGATGGCGTGTAGTCTGGAAGCGGGTCGGCCTGAGGGACGAGTGAAGCCATAAAGGCCAATTCTCTCTCCACTTCTTTGCCAGTCCAGTCGCCCTGCAGCCATGTCCAGGAGCTTCGCTCCGCCTTTTCTGCTTCAATCATCTCTTCTTCAATTTTCAACATGCTGAAAAGTCCGGTGATCCAGGATTCGAGGATTCGCAGCTCCTCGTCCTTCATTCCACCTGACCATTGTCGAGTTGCCATTTGCTTCAAGGTCTCCATAACAGAGAGCAGCTCTGTGCGAATCTCCTTCTCAGACTTGATGGCGTCCAGTCGCTCGGGGACTTCATGCGCCGTGTAGTAGTTTCTCGCAGCCCGGATGGCCAGCGTCATGACATCGAGAATGTGCATACCCTGAACCTCGTGCCAGCCTGTAGACGTCTTCTTGGGGGGCTCGCTTTGTCCTCTTGTGGGAATCTCGGGTAGTTCTGGCACAGGGCTACTATCCCTATGCTTTTTCGCGTGTCTCAAGGCCTGAGCCGCCTTTTCGAGAGATCCTGTCAAGTCCGCCTTGAGCTCCTCAATTGTCGGAGGCTTCGGTACTGGCTTATTCCTGTGAATGTATGTGCTCGCAGTCGGAGGCAGAACATCTGGGTCCTCTTCGAAATCATCAGAATAGTAGTGGTGGTCATCAGTAGGCGATTCCACCATCGGTCCTGCGCCAAAAGGCTGAGAGCCAAGTTCTGGGCTATTTCCCTGTGAATCAACGATCCCTGGCGAATTCGAGCTTGAGCTGCTAACAGAGGAAAGGTCTAGTCCTCCTTTGGCCTTGTTTTTTCTCGCCAACTGAGCGCCCTTGCCATCAAGAAGACCGGTTCGCGCAAAGTAGTACTGCAGGTGGGCAATGCTTCCCAAACTCAGTACGCTCTCTCTATGGCGAGCACTCGCAGCGAAGTCAGTACCCTGTGGTCGAACAAATCCTCGGCGGCGACTGGAAGAGCGGCCAACCTCCACACTGCTGCAAGTGGATTGTCGGGACGATGCGAAGCTGACATCGGAGCGGCGGCTATAGTTCCCAGAGGACTGTCTAGAGTATGTGCTGCCTCGGAAGCTTCCCAGAGATTCGCGGGAGTTGCCCTCAGTGGCGGATCCGTGGGAGACAGATGAGGCAGTCGAGACGCAGCGAGACAGCTCGGGACAAGCGCCGAGAGCTGGGGTCGGAGAAGCGTCTGACGATGGAGAGTCGCACCGGAACGACGGCGTCTCTTCGTTTGCTGTAGCCATTATTTCGGTTATGCTGAGAAAGTCGGATGCTCTGAAGCTCGTGAGCTTGGTTGTAGTTGGTATAAGCTCTGGGGTATGTATGTGCTATCGTGGATGGTACGGTAGTGGTCGAGCAGAGGGTGTTGACGTCTCGTCTCAGCTAGGTATCGGCGGTGGTCTCAAGCTATGCGCTAGGCAACGTGAGGGGGTGCGATGACCAATGTGGTAACGGGTTAAGGTATGTATAGATCGGAGAGGTCTATTTGCAAATACAATAGTCGTGTGAAGGAAACTGGGTGCACAGCAGCGTCCAGAGGGTCGGCAAGCCAGAAAGTTGACACTGGCGAAGAAACGCGCGCTGGTGGTTCGAGAGACGTATGGCGAATTATTTGCTTAGGTGAAAGCCAAAAAAGAATGAAGCGAGCGAGTGTTGATTAACAGACGGTCCCCAGAATGGACGAAGCGGACGGAGAAAGTTTCTTGGACTAATAACCCCGGACGGTAAACACTGACTAGGCAGGGTAGGTTGGAAACGGTAGGGCAAAAGAAAGCTAGGTCTCGTCTCTTCAAGGCTCGTCGTGGGCTAAGAACGGTCGAGGGTAAGGTGTACCTGCGTGCCTGCGAGCTGTGACAAGACGCGACTCTCCGGTGTCAGGGGTCTGTGTTGGGCTTGGCCACAGCGTAAGGTACCGGTAAGTGAAAGAAAGAGTCCGGTGCGGTGTGTGACGGGAGTGTGTGTATGCCAGTGGTCGCCTGGTGGTCTCTGGCACCAAGATCCTTGTCCCCGGTTGCGTCAGTGGAGATGTATGTGTGGAAAGGCCGAGGGCGAATCTCTGATGAGGGAAAGACTCCAGCGAGCAAATTGGGGGTCCAATCGAGTGGCTCGCGACTTGCCAGGAAGGGACGGTTTAAATTGAACGTCGCGTCGTCTCCGAAGGTGGGGTGCTTGCTGCGTGCAAAGGAAAGGAGAGGGGAAGGTGGGACGCGGGACACGGGACCTGGGAGCTTGGCCTTGCTGCTTCAAGTTTGAGCTTGGGAGGGCTGGAGCTGGAGGGATGCGATGGAACGCGTGGAACGAAAGCCGTTATGTTCGATGATGTGGTTGCTTTTTTTTTTTTTTTTTCCGAAAATCGAAGAGATATTTGCCAAACGGTCGGCTGGTTAGCTGGCTGTTCTTCAGTTCAAAAAGAAATTAAGCACCTCAGAAAGGTACGAGCGAATGGGGTAGGTAGTGCAAAGAACAACGGAACAAGCTGGATTCCACAACTGGACCTGAAGGTGGGTAGCTAGCGTAGGTACCCGAAACTTGAAAGAACCATTGGTATTACCAGCAGCTTCTCCAACTTCATGTGTTCTTCCCCAAGGCAAAGGGGATCGCCGTCTACTTATTCCGCCACAAACTGATCAGGAGGCGCTAAGACCCAAGAAAATGATCGCCGAATCCCGACCAGATATTCTCAAAAGAGACTCGTATCCATCGACTCAGCAACGCGCAAATGGCCAAGCTACGTCAAGATGTTCAGAACGAGCAGTTCAAGACTTTATCCTACCAATACGGCAAAGTTAGGTATGAGAATCATCAGCCCTCCTGCATCCCAAGCTGTCCTTGAGCTCATGCAAGTCGGATTCCCGTGGTGATGACATTGTCAGGGGCTCAAATCTTAAACAATGTCCAGCTGGCAGCAGCTCGTCCGGCCAACAAAGCACGAGTGGGTAATTTCATTCCGCCAAAAGCCTCCGTGTTTCCCGACATCGAGATGAACCAGACCAACAAACCCCCCCTCCTTCTTCGTCAATCCCAGACACGGGCTCCCTCCCGCATCACTGCCAACTTCCACACTGGTTGATCAGTGAACAAACTGAGGATTTTCCCCAGAATACGCGAGAATGATGGATGCTCTCCAAGAAGCACGGGTATACGAGTTGCGAGAGAACCCGGACCAAACAAGGCCGTTAGTTATTGCACAACCTCAGCCACATGGCGCCAAGGTCCAAATTCTTCTGCCTCTTGCCCTATCCGTGTTGCGGCCCGGCCATTCCCGCCATACTCTAGATCACTGCCCCATGCCTGACCCTGTCCCACAGAAGCTATATCCGTCTGCTGGCCGAACTTTTGTCAGTATCCAAGTGTCGTGACTGTCTGAGCAGGTGGAATGACAGATTCCGAGGAGAACTTGCTGCTGCCTCCCGGGCTCCATGGAGAGAACAAGGTGAAAAATATATGCTGCATTGCAGGGTCTCAGATGAAGTAGTGCCTGCTTCTCGCCCATATCTTTTTTTCTGCTTTTTGCTCTCAAGCATAGTATGTTATGCCGAGAACAGATACTCCGTTTCCATGTCTCTGTCATTTTCCGTTCTGACCCCTGGACA